GTCCCTGCCGCCTTCGGGGCGGCCCGTGGGGTCGGCGGCGTCGGCGTCAGCCTCGCAGGACGCTGCAGGGAAGTTTGTACGTGTCTCTGCATAGGTATGAAAACAAACAGCGACCTGGAAGGCTCCGTCAAAACAAGACGTGTTGTACAGCAAATGAATTTAAATAGCAAATAAAATTTTACGATGCCTGCAGGACTTCAGCTTTCAAACAACAAAGAAAATGGGTTATTACAAGTATATCAGCCGAAGAGCAGCTCTTGAAAGAAACAAACAAACAGGAATAAACAAAACCCTTCTTTCTCTCCTCTTTTAACAGGCTGGTACTGGGGCAACATGACTGTTGCTGAAGCCAAAGAGAGATTGCAGGATGCCCCTGAAGGAACCTTCTTGGTTAGAGATAGTTCACATTCAGAGTATCTGCTGACTATTTCGGTAAAAACATCAGCGGGACCGACAAATCTACGTATAGAATATCAAGATGGCAAGTTTAGACTGGACTCTATCACTTGTGTCAGATCTAGACTTAAACAGTTCAACAGCGTTGTGCATTTGATCGAGTACTATGTTCTTATGTGCAAGGACAGAACCGAAACACCTTCAAACGGAACAGTGCATCTTTACTTGAACAAACCTCTCTATACGTCCGCTCCATCTCTGCAACACCGCTGCAGAATAACTATAAACAAATGTACAAATCAGATCTGGGAGCTGCCATTGCCAACGAGACTAAAAGAGTACTTGAGAGAGTACCAATACCAGGTATAAATACCTTTTCTAAATGCCTCTAATGTAACTTTTAAATGCGATTCTTAAAATCAGCCAAAGGACTGAGTAACCAGTTGTACAACTCGGCATGGAATTCACTATCAAAACAGTGGCAGTTCTGGGGGAAAGGTTTTTATTTCAGATGCCACAAAGGGAGACTTTATGTAGAATAATCCCAGCTTGTATCCTCGGGGATTCGGCAAGGTGGCATGCTATTCTTGCGAGGAAAGAGAAGCCAGGAATCTGTCCAGATTGCGTTGCTTTGTCAATGGCATAAAATACTGCAGTAACTATCAAATGGCCACTGAAGCAGTGGGACCGGGAGAGACTGCAGAAGTGGTCAGAGACGTATGAGAGTGCATATGTATCCCAGTTGTCTGATTCCAAGATTAATTTGGTGCTGTTGTTCATATAATCCTGAAATCTTAACACAATCACACTGTGATAATCTTGCCAAAGTTATGCAACTAATCAAATCCAGTCAAAAAAGTGATCATGTATTCAGTTTTTATTGAACTATAATTCTCGTGCTTTTCTGCAAGCAAAGGAGTACTGTGAGTAGTCAGTTTAACATTGTTTTTCAAAGTTCTCTGAAAGCTGACCTTAAGGAGAAATGCCACATCTTTCACAGGAACCCAGTCTGTTGCTGATTATACCAGATTGGTATCCCAGAATCTTTAACAAGTTAACATCTCCCCAGTGGTGATATATCCATGTTACTGCTGTTAAGCCTCTTTTGGTTGAGGCTTTAGGACTGTACGCTGCAGACTTGCAGTTGCTCAGTTCCAACGTCAAGACATGGATATCAGCAGTTACAGCTGTCTTCTACAGTGTAGAATGTTTTCTTCAGCTTGTTTCCCAAAATGTGGGGAAATATGATTTGGGTTTTTTTTTTTTGGAGGGGGTTGATTTTTTTCTTTTTTTTCCTTCTAATTCACCATTGTAGCAATCAGACTATTACTCAATAAAGTAAATCAAATTGCACGACAATCTCCCAATCTCTGTATGCATGGATTTGCTACTATTCAGGAAACGGTGATCTTGCCAACCTGTGTCGTTTCCCAGCTAATGCTCAAATAAATGAACGTGCATCAGTGAGGACAAATACCCCTGCTTTGCCTTTGTGGTGCTGCTCAAAGGTATAGCTGGATTATGTTCAGATTAGTGGCTTAGAGGCTGCCTGCTGAATTCCCGTAGTTAGGTATTAGCGTAGGACATTGCTTTTTCTGTTACAGCAGTCCTCCAAATGGGGAGAAGGGATTAAGACCCTCAGTTCCCATTCCTCAGCCTGAATGTCAAGTATTTAATAGAAGAAATATCCAGGATAAGAGTAATAGGAGAGCAGTAAGGGGAGAAACAAGGACATAGATTCATCTTAGTCAACAATTTCATAGTTTTCACTTCCCTAGCTTACTTTTTAATTAAAACGAAATAGGACCTGTGTTTGAACAAGGAGGGTTGTCAAGACTTGCTGTAATCTAGCCCTGCCCAGGCTGAAATAGAAACAACATAAAATAATCTTCTTGTTTTCCTTGTGCCTTAACTGCTCTGCAGTACTGTCAAGATGCTCTGTCCCTTCTCATGAACTCCAGGGTACTGAGCAGCTTATTTTGTTGCATCCAAACTCCCGGTGTCATGTACCCGGTTTTGTCGTTAACGTTCTGGCAGAAATGAGTAGTGTGGCGCTGAGACAAGGAAGACACCACGAACCCGAGGCAGAGGGGACAGTCCCTTGGGATGGCAAATACGTGATGTGGTGGTGGTCTCTCTGTGGAAAAGATGGCTTTTCTCCCTCCCCCTCCACAGCTTCAATTCTTTCTCCCCTTTTTTAATGCAAGCTTTAGTATAGAAATGGGGAGTTTTCTCCTGAAAAACCTAAACAAAAGCTTTTGTTATGTAAAAATTTTCCCCTTGTCCCACCAAAATGTAGCAAATTGTTGGAAGTTTTTCACATAACAGGGCGACCACCCTCTGGTTCCCATCCCAGAAGAGCTCTTGTATTCCAGGTATGTGCCGTAACCACAGGGTTCTTCTGTGCTTGTCACCCACCTTGCTAGGATCCGCCGCCCGGAAGCTGAGGAGCTTTTCCTGTGAGCAGTGTCCGTGAATGAACCGTGTTCCCGGGACCAGTTTTCAGTCTGACAAATCTGTTTTCTTACGGTTCTTGTCTAGCTCTTCCTTGAGATGAGTTAGCCACTGTACGGAATAACTTATGGTGCAGTAAGGAACACTCCAAGCTGGTGCTGCATTAACCTTTACCACTGGGCATTTTTAGCCAAGGCAATACCTGGCTGTGATTTCACTTGGGGTCTCAGTGGTGAACAACATTGTACTAAGCTCTGTTAAAAGAAGTTCCCTCCAGGCTACCCCCTGGCCTGGGGATTTAAAATCACAAACACCGACACTGGAACACGCAGTCTGAGAAGGTAAAAGCTTTGGGGTGCAATGAGAGGGTGATGTTGTACATATAAGAAATGATTTACGGCTCGTTGGAGGCAGCCCGCTGTAAGCAGTCACAGGGCAGGTGTACCCCACAGCAGAGCCAAGCTCTGCCGAAGGCCACGGGGCAGGCGCAGGGCAGCTCGCTGGGCTTTTTGTCAGTGGTTCTCGAAAGCAGGAGGGCAAACGGCAGGACAGGGAGCACTAGTAAAGCCAAAGGTGGTGATTCTTGTAGATAACGAAGAGCAGTTACTGCGATGTGGAATCAAGTCACCGAACGTTGAGCATACTGACTTCTACTTTGTACCATTCGTAGTAGTTACTGTGAGGAAAAGTAGGGTCTGTAGCTGTGGTGTGCTGGAAGCAGTGAACAATATTGTGAACAGACTGGAGGGGGAACTAGTCCTCTTTGTATGAAAGCACAGTTCTTGTCCTCATCAGGATGCCAGCCCTAGGGCTGATGCGTCGCACCAGTAAAACTAAACCACACCAGAGCTTGCTGAAAGCTCGGCTTCGTTCTAACACAGCACAGAAGAATGACTTGTTCTGGGACAAAAAAATCCAAGGATAGCACACGATAGATTACAGTGGTGCAAATATCTTGCATGTAGACCTTGTGAATTTTCAGGCACGATCATGTTGTCCAAACATTTTATGAAAAGGTCCAGTGCCTTTTTTTTTTTTTTTTAACTTTATGGAGGTTGTGGCTTGTTTGCAGCACTAGCTTTTAAATTGCTGGTCCTTCAGATTCCAAAAATTACTTCTAACTGATATATGTCATCTTGAATTGCTAGTACAGAGCGTTCAGTGAAGCCAGTTTCACAGGTTCGATGCCTGTGAGTCAACCAAAAATCATGATAAGGGCTTTAATCCTAAGTCTTTTTTTTCACCCCGTGTGTTGGTTTGATTTTTCATTTTTCAGTCTTGAGGTTTCAGATTTTCCAGCTTACACCTGGAATATTAGTTGCTGAAGACCTCTTCATTTTAATTAAAGGCAAGCTGAGAATCCCACGGTTCTAAAAGGTGGTGCTTGCAAAAAATAATAAAAAATAATTGCAAGATGAATGATGAAAATGGAATTGGTGAATGTGTTCAGTTTGGTGCTAAACCTAGCAGAAGTGTGAACTATGGCTCTGTTTTAGTTGTATGGGTTATTTCCCTGCGGCTGGTATTATCACCAGAGACAGAAAATGGTTCAATACAAGATGGGTGGGTAGAGTGGGAATGTAACCAAGCAGCTGCACCCAGTGCATTAGAAGTAATTTTATTTTAATCTGATCTCGTCAGTATTGTCCTAATTATATTTTATGTAACCGCATTCTACATAAACAATATATAATTGTTAGCAAGAAGGAAAAATTGTTCACTAGAATATGGGGGCAGAGGGGTTTATGTTTGTATCTGAAAACAATCCGGAGCTTACTCCTCACTAAAAACTGTGGAGCTTTAATGGGACTCTCATTAAGTCTCATCACCTTAAGAAAACAGAATGTACACGGGAGCGCAAGGACAGGGTTCTGTAGTTGTGTGAATTCCTGTATCTTAGCCACCACTGGTGTCTTAGCAAAGTATTCCTGTAGGTAAATTACCTTGTTAAAGATCGCAGAAAAAACTCTATTTACTTACATGTTCTATTCCAGAGCTTTTTCTTGTAGCCCTGATAAAGTTCCTATGGATTTTTCCTTTGGCTATAAGCTTAGAATCTAGCAGAAAGCAAGTCGAGTGGTTGCAGGGCTTTGTCCTTCTGAAGCCGAAAGACATGATGGAAATGGGAAGAGATACCTTTAGGTGTGGGTGTCGTGTCTAACGGTCATTGAAAAGCAAGTAAAATAAAACTTCTGCTGACTTTGCTGTCATTAAAATAAATCTAAGTATCATATTGACTGCTAGAGGAAATAATGGCTTGAGGGATTCTAAAAGTTGTATTACTGATTCTCAATAATCGTAAGAAACTTTTCTGTCGAAAGGAGAAATTTAATTTTTTTAAAAAACTATAGAAATACAGGAAACCTTTAGTGCGTAAACCATCAAATTTCCAAATAGAATAACTAGAAATTATTTGAAAGGCCCGAGCTGGTCAGTGCCGTATACACAGTGGAAGCGGGAATGACAAGCTACTTGGGTATCTCAGCCTAGCTCCTGAAAACCACTTCTTTATTAGCGCTAACTTCAGCAGGTCTCAGTATTTTGCTAAGCCCTTAGCGTGACTGAAAATGCCTGGAAACAACATTCCACCGACACATAACTTCAGTCACCAAGGTCTGAGCTCGCTTTACAAGATGGCGGTTTGCCACAGTATTGCTGGAACGGGGGCAAGCCCTACCACCGGCTGCAGGTCAGGCAAAGAAACCGGGAGCTGCCAGGGGCCGGGAAGGGCATCGGTGCCGACCACCCACCGCTGGTCCTTATCTGCTGTCCCAGACAGAGGGCACGCCGCACGCTGGGGAAAATACAGCCGATGGGAAGCGGCTCTGCTTGCTGAGGGGGGAATTACCTGTCTGGCTTTTGGTGTCTGAGAAGGGACTGAAGGGAAGGAACATGGAAAAGCCAGGAGCCCCTATGAGAGGTGGCACTTCTCACCAAGCGACCTAACCATCAGGACTAGTACGATGCTGAAAGGTGTACTAGTAGAGCTTAAAGGTCCAGGGGAGTAACTAGTATCAGCACAGTTTGCAACCACATATATACGAAGTCTGGCTAGAAAACTGAATTTCTCAGGGGGAAAAAAAAGCTTGTAGCAA